AACAGCAGATGGACCTGCTGGGTCATTTTTCTGCACATGATGGCTGCAGATCTGGTATAAGGCTTGATGAATGCTGCCCCTCCAGGCCCAGAATTCACCTCTGTGGATTCACACACACTGATTCGTGTTAAAAATCCCTTATTTAAGGGAATAGTAGGTGAATTTGGTTCAGAGAGCCTTCTTTCCCACCGCCGAAAGCCTCTATAGGGCTTTTGTGTCAGTTAGAAAAAGATGCCTCCTCTTCCCCTGGGCAGCAACAACCCTGAGCATGAGTCAGGAGAGGAACAGCCAGACCGCATGCTTCCCCCCTCCACCCTTGGTCAGACCTGCACACACTGGACACACGCAGCAGCTGGGACCACCCGTTTAGGCATCTTGCACTCCTTGTTTTTATAAGCAGCTTGTTGGACACCTCCACGCACTGCAGTAACTCACCCATATTACTAACTCATTTGCAAGACCTTCATTTGCTGTTGTTACTTGTCGACAGATTTCCCTTCTACTTTAATCAAGGAGAGAATTAAAAGCTTAGTGCCCTTCTTATTTTTGTACCCTTTCTACCTTCTTTGATGGCTTGCTTGTGTTTTTGGGAAAAGATTATTTCCACTACTCCTGTGGAGAATTCTGCTCCTGTTTTTCTGGTTACCAGAGCCACACAGCCCAAGTTAGCAAGATGTGCCCACTCATGATTGTTCAATTCAATAGATGCCCGCCAAGTGACAGCCAGGTGCAACTAGGTGGGAGTCTGCCCTGGGAGCATCTGCTCAGGGGAGAGGGAGACAGACAGCATAGGTGTCATGTCAGGGTCTACATGGATGCCCAGGGCCTGGGAGGGGGTACTGCCTATGTTCAGCAGGCCAGGTAAGTCCTCTGAAGGAGGTGGCAGCAGAGCGGGGAGAGCTGCGAGTTGATGAGGTGCTGAGATGGGGCTGAGGGCAGATGCTCAGAGGGATAGAACAAAGGAGTATTTAGGGAACTGTTGTGTGACCATGGAGTGGCCTTCCCCTAATCCAGTCTTTCTGTTGGTCCTGATTTCCCAGGAACCCACACACAGCCAGTTCTAGTCCAGATGAGGTTCTCCTAGGGGTAATACAATGTCAGGAGCCCAGAGAAGGAAGGAACAGAGGATGGCATGGCTCCAAGGTCAGCTCCAGGGAAACCTGCCTGAGGGTTAGCATCTCCTGGGAACTTTTTAGAGATGTATATTCTGGGACCTCATCCGAGTGCTACAGGGGTAAAGCCCAGAAATCTGTGTTTGAACAGCCCCCCAGAGATTTCTGCTGCATTCTGAAGCAGAAGACCCACCTCTGTGCTGGGTCTGGTGATGCTTGGCCCAGGTCCCTGCTCAAGGGCCACAGCTCTGTCCCCCAGAGGGGGCCCAGGGTTGCTGATGGCTGGTGGCAGTGTCCCTCAATGGGAAGTTTCCTTCCAAGGGCTGCCTGAAGCCCACACTGGCTCTCCTCAGTTGGGGAAGCTGAAGTGCCATCTGTGCTCCAGAGTTCCCTGAGGATCAGGGGGCTTCCTTTTATCCACAGCTCAGCAGCTTGCTCCCTCACAGGCATGACTCCTCACAGCAGTTCTCCACAAGCATTAGCCTCAGGTCTGCTTCCAGAAAACCTGATTTAGATAACACTGGTGCTGCCAAGGGCCCGCCACCACCTGCAGGGCCGGAGGCTGGCTTTCTGTCCACTGCCATTGCCCCTACTGGCACCTGTACAAGTCTCCAACTTCTGCCTGCCAGGATCTTCACTCTGCTTGAGGTGGTTTTTCTGCTCTTCCCACATGCATTCTTCTCCACTCCCTACCTGCCTGTGGCCTTATCATGGTCTCTTCCTGAAGGTGATCAGCATACCAGGGCTGTGATAGGGCAGGTACCATGACTCTGAATATGCTTACCACAAGGCCAGTGTTGTCAAAGAAGGCTGGATTGTGGGCTCACCCCTTGGGTCCTTGCCCTCAGTCTTGGCAGAGACTTTTGTTACTGGGTCCTAATGTACTGAGCTCACACTAATCAAGTCCATTGCAGACTGAAGTGCAGAACCAGCCTCTGTGTTATGGATTTGTGGCACTAGTGACCCCTTTCCTGTGTGAGGCATGGTCAAGTCACCAGTCCCCTTCCCAAATCACAGAACATGGTCATTAGAAGGTGGCTGGGCAACCTTTTGACCCTCATGACTAATGGGGGTGGGGTCAGGACGAGAGCTACTTTCTTTTCATGTCCTCTCAGGTCCTTTGCTCCCCTCACTGGCTCTGAGAAATGCACAGAAAAGTGGAGGTAAGAATTCACCCTCAGCCCAAGTGGTGTTCTCTACTGAACCCTATACCATCCACAGGGGCTCTGGCCCAGAGCATGGCCTACAGGACCAAGACATACATTTCTGCCCCCAGGAAGTACTGCAAGACAAGTGGATAAAGGGCAGACAAGCTCAAGGGCCAGGAAATTGATTCCAGGTAGCCTCCTCAAGCTGAGAAAGTAAGAAGGGAGGGCATCGGCTCCTGGATGGGCAAACTGAGACCCTCTCTTTTATTTCAGGGCAATCAAAGCCTTAGAAAATTGGTACCCATGCAAACTTTTTATATGCCTGAAGAAGGAAGTAAAGACACCTTTCAACCAACAGCTGACCTGAGTGATCAGGCCTTTTGATCATACAGGTTCACATTTCAAAGCACACAACTTGACCCTCAGAAGGCAAATCAATGCATTAATGAGGATTACTGAAAACAGACCTATTGGAGACTCCCTGGCCCACTGCAACACACTTGCTGCTGGACTTGTTTCTGTGAAGGCAGCACTTCTCATGCTCAATCTCAGACTACCTTTGAACATGGCTACTAGTACTGTTTTGGGAAGAACAGCGAGATAATGAGCAACCATACTCCTACCCTGCATGCCCGTTATAGGTAGTGGCATGGACCACTAACTTGGAGCTAAAAAGAATAAATGAGTGGTCAGCCTAACTAATCCTTTACTTGATAAACTAATGAGGTCAACTGGATCTTATTCACCCTAAGAATAAAATAAAAAATGTGATTTCAAAGGTCATGTTCTCAAAGTGAATTGTATGTAATGCTGTAATGTATGTGATATTACGCACCATTGTGCCTGGTACTCCGTATGAACAGCCATGGAAAGCATACATTGAACTTACAAAGCCAGTCACAGGCATGCTAGTCATGACTCATCTGCTACTCAGATGATCACTGTGACCAGGATACATTCCTGCCCGAACATTTATCCTTTGAAGGACTCTATTTGACATGGAAGTCTCCCTTCTATTACCCAAATGAAAATCTCAACCCAAATAAGGACAGCCATGCTCCAGAGGTGAGACAGAGGAGAGAGCAGAAAGATGGGGACCCCAATGGCAGAGTGGGGTAGGAAAAGAGGTCTATCCATACTCTGCATCAAATTTGAAAACCTGAATGATATGGAAGGTCTGTGCATGGTTGAGACTTCCAGGATATATTCACATCCCTTGGGGAATGATATTCTTGGAGCTGAATTACCATTTGGGTCTCAAAGACAGAGCAGCCTTCTTGAGTGGCAGATTTGTTGTACTATGGACTCTGGACCAACACCTGGAGTCCTCTGCACTGAGGAGGGTTAAGGCTGTGGCTCTCATTTAACAAGTAGACATTGTTGAGAGCCTGTGTACTGGGTATTCATTTTGGGATTTAAAACTGAAACTCCTAGGCCTTGTCCTTGTAGAGGGCACAGAGTCCTGCCTATCATTTGGGGAAGTACATTAGGGCCCAAGGGTCTCCTGGGGATGAAGGTCTATATATTCAGGGGAAGGTCCTGCATCCAGTTCTGAAGAGCAAGACCATCACAACCATCCTCCCCCATGTGCTTCCTCGACCTCCAGCTTAGGGGAAGCCATTGAAGCTTATCCAGGGTACCTAGTCAGAAGATAGGCTCTTCTGTCCATTGCTGGCGAAAACTTGAATTTCAACCTAAAGACACCTAGAAGGTAGTGTATAATCTGTCTTCCCCACTCAGGAAGCTAGTTTGAAAATAGGTAAGTCTCAATTTCCTTTTGCTTTGTTGGATGTGGTAATGAATTATCACAGCAGAGTGGGCAGAGAAAGGGGGGCATGCTCTGTGATTTCCTATCCAACTACCAGATAAAGGCCAATGTTTCCACTAGGCTTAAAAATGTAGAGAGCATGTGTCAGGATAGTCAAGCTACTTCTAGAAAACATTTTGGAGCTTGACAAGTTGCTCTTTCAAAAGGTATTTTGCTTGAAATACATTCTGTTCTGCAACAACAGATTCTAAGTGCTCATCTGACCTGCATGGTATCTATGGAACTTTCCACTTCATATTATTTACAAAATTCATATTCTCTACCTTAAAACATTCATTCAAGTAACTGACTCATTGTCAAATAAAAGAGTACAAGGCAGTCTAATTCTCAGAACACTATTTAAGTAGGGAATTTAAAACTGCATGTATCTTTTAAGAACTGTAATTTACAAAAAGCAGATTTTCTAAACAAGACAAGCATGTCACTTCTAGCAGTGATTCATTGGGTTACATTTGGCTGTGGTTCACAGCTGCCATGCATGAGTATGGCAGTTACGGTTGTCAAGATACTGAGCTACTTCTGAACAGTTGCTAACTAGGCACCAAGAAGGTTCCATGACTATCCACTGCTCTGGCATCCTTCCAATGCCAGGGCCCTTAGCCCCAAAGTCTCAGCAACTCATGAGGTGTTCTCTGTGCTATGGCTGGTCCTTTCCTGATTGGCTAGTGCCTGTGTCATCAAATACTTTGAGTAACCTCTCTGCTTATGATAAATGTCCTAGGGACAATGACATTTAAAAACCTGCTAGATTTTTCTGCACTTTCCCATCAGCAGTAGTATTAGAGGAACATAACCCAACTGACCAACCGGTAACAAATTACACAGCCCTATAGAAACCATACATTTACAAGCTAGCACTGAGGGGAGAGAGATACAGAAGGCATGGGACCCCAAAACATAACAGCAGCTCACATGTTGAGGGGCAGCTGGGCTTTGGGAGCTGTGCCCTGATGCTCAGCCGCTGGGTTGGATCCAGCCGGGGAAGAGTCCTGCAAACAGACAAGAGGAAACAGTGAGTTGACAGGAGGCTTCTACCCAGGGAAGAGAAAGACAAAGTCAAGTTGGAATCCAGAGACATTTGCTCTCCTCTCAGGGCTACTTGCCTGGGTTTTTAATAATGTTTTTCCAATACATTGGAGAGAACTTGGTGGCCCATGACACAAGGCCCAAGGCCTCTTTCAAGAGCCCCCCTGGAGCAGCTGATCAGAACACCTCTCTGTAGTTTGCATCTGGGTTAATCAGCACCACGCTATGCTTAACATAAAAGAAAGCAGTTTCTGGAAGCCCATTTTTATTCTTAGAACTTGAATCGATTATTCTTGTGTTTGCAAAAAGAAAATCCAGATAAAACCTTTCATGCTACAAAGCCTGGACTCATTTAAAAACTGCATTTCTAGAAACTGAAGATTAATCTCTACAGAAAATTGGTCCTTTGACTGTGAACAGAAGGACATGCTGTAGTGCAATAGGACTGAAAGACAGTGTCTCCACCTCAGACCCTGAGGGGCTCAAAGCTTCAAGGGCTCGTTACACAGGGAGATGACTGAAGAGAAGTCTGCTTCAGGCTGCTTCAATAACATCAGGTTCATGCTAAACTGGTTGAGGGGAGTGGTTAGGGGCCAAGCAGAGAGATCTGGGCTGTGTGATCATCTGGCCGAGTCAATTCCTGCACAGAGATCCCTGGAGATCCAGGTCATGAGGGACACATTGTCTGCAAATCTCCTCAGTACCCAGTTTGCCCATCCAGCCCGTCATTCCCCAGGGCAGCACCCATCTTCCTGTTCAGATGGCACAATGAATTGAACTGTGTCCCCAAAAGATACATCCAAGTTATAGCCCCTGGTGCCTGTGAAGTTGACCTTATGATCCTAAAATTAGATTATCTTTGATTAGAATGTGCCCCAAATCCAATGACAAGTGTCCCTATAAGAGAAAGAAAAGGAGAACAGAGACACCCACAGAGGAAGAAAAGCTATATGAAGATAGAGGCATAGATTGTTGTGATGCATCCATAGGCCAAGGAACTCCAAGGACTGCAGCAACCACCAGAAGCTGGGAGAGGGGCCTGGGCCAGATTCTCCCTCAGCCTCCAGAAGCAACCAATCCTGCCAGCACCTTGATTTAAGACTTCTATCTTCCAGAACTGAGGATAACTCCCTGTTGCTTTGAGCCACCCAGTTTGTGGTACTGTTACAGCAGCCCCTAGGGAATTAGTACAACTCAACTCTGACCTGTTCTGACCTTGCTTAGCTGATAAGCTCCACATGCTAAGGCAACCTCCCAACCCTCCCTAGGTGGTTGACCTCTCTCCTCCACCGGGATCATGAAAGGTGCCAGAAAACACAGCATATCTGTGACCTCTAAGAAGCTATAAATTCTATTTCTTCTTGTTTAAACAACAAAGTACCTGGTGGAATGAATATATGCAACACAGCATTAACTTCCCTCATTTCTCCAAGATGCCTGAAAGTCTCCAAGGACTTCCCATTCCAAGCTCCAACATCTGTTAAAGAAAGTGCTGATTTCCAAAGGCAGCCTCTTCACAAATCTCATCCCTGTGGCTGATGCACAGATGCCATTTTCTGGGATGCTGTGTGGGAGCTGGGCTAAAAGGTAGGACACTCCTTCTGCTGATAAATTCGGGGAACTTCCATCTACTCATCACACCTGTGCATTCTAGGATGGAGGATAGAGACTAGAAGGCATTCCCTCCCAAAACTTGGGGCTGTTTCCCTTCAAGGTGGTTGCTGGCCGAGTTCACCGTAGCTGTCCAGGAACCATCCTCCATAGAGGACCAGTACAGAAAGGAAGGCGACTGCCACAGGTATGGGCACCTGGTTCCAGACTTCCTCTCCTGTATTATGGACAAGACCCCTAGTGCTGGTTTCCCACAGCTCTCCTTGAATGGTCTCTGGAGAATGGCGTGGACAAGATGTTAGGGCCCTTCACTCACTCAAACAGGAGTGGGGCAGGTGTGACATCACCCTGGAGGTGGTCAGCAGAGGTCCACGAGCACCTCCAGTGTGGAGTTCTTTAGCTAAGCAAGGTCAGAACTGGTCAGTGAGTTGATAAGAAAGGCCGCACTCGGCTCTTCACATAAGCAAGTAATGTGATGGTCGGTTGAGTTGTAGGGTTGTTCTGCCTGCATGGGGCATGCTTTAGGTCCTCGCTGACATCAGTTGACCTCCTGATTGTGGGGGCCACCTGGGGCACAGACACAGCCTCTGATCTCAGTGTGGGGCTTGCACTCATGGAGGATGAGCATTAGACATGTCATTATAAACATAGGGGTCTCAGAAAGAGCAGGGCTGCAGGAATACACAATAAGGACCTCACCTGGGGTATGGCCAGAGAGGGCTTCTGTGAGCAGGGGTGGGCCTGTTAGGTGAGATGGTAAGGGTCAGGATAGGCGAAGGAGAAGCAGAGTAGTCTGCTCAGCAAGGGTTGGCAAAGGCAAGCTCCACAAGTTTGAAGAAACTGAAAAAAAGGAAGAGTGAGCCATGAGGGAAGGTGCTCAGAATGGTGCAGTGCCAGTCTGTGCAAGGACTCCTGAGCCACTGAGGTTCTCGTCTTCACCTTGAGGGCAAAGAGATGCCCTGGAAGGCTGGCAGGAGAAAGCTAAAGACCCATAACTCACAGGGAGACTCATTAGGAAGCACTGAGGAAGGTCTGGGTCAGAGGCATGGGGATGGAGAAGGAGAGGGTCTTTACATGTATAGATTGTGGGTAAGAACAATAATAGCAGTAATAATAATGACCACTCCCCCTCATCCAGAGCTCATCACCATTTCATCTGGTATAATGAATTTAATCCTCAAAGAAGCCTATATATTTTTTTAATCAGCACTTTATAAAATGAGGAAACTGAGGCACAGAGAAGTTAGGTGAATGGCTCACATTCATACAGCCAGTACATGGACAAGGCTGGGCTTGAACTCAGGCAGTCCGAGGCTTGAGGCTATGTGCTTATTTATCATGCCATTTGTATGAGTTTCTTAAGGCTGCTATAACAGATTACAACAAACTCAGTGACTTAAAACAATACAGCTACACTACCTGACAGTTCTGAAAGTCAGAAGTCCCAAACAAACGTGTTGGCAGAAGGATGTTCCTTCTGGAGTCCCTAAGGCATAATCCATGCCTTGCCTCATTCAGCTCCTATGGGATCCTCCATTCCTTGGCTCGTGGCCTCTTCTTCCATCTTGAAAGACAGCAATGTATCATCTTCAAATATCTCTGCAACCTAACCTCTGCTTCCATCATCTCATCTTCTTGTTGACTCTGAACCTCTTGCCTCCTTCTTATAAAGATCCTTGTGGTTATACTGGGACCACTGGATACTCCAGAATAAACTCTCCATCTCAGTTTCCCTGTGTATTTTGCAAAGTGAAGTGACATATTCATAACTTCTGGGGATAAGGACATGGGCATATTCGGGAGCCCATTATTCCTTCCTCTACCCACAGGCCCAGTGCAGTCCTGAGATGAAGGGCACAAGAGAGAATGAGCCCAGTTTCTGGCCTTAGGAACTGGACAGATGGAGATGCTATCTGAAGAGACAGGGAGTGTGAGAGCTGAGGGAGGTCACCAGTGCTGGACATCTTGAGTTCGATATATCTGGAGATGGTGAAGGTGAGGTTAGTTGAGAGGAAGGCATTGTCATGGAAGTAGAGATTTGGGGATCATCAGCATATATCCTATCTGCACAGCAATGAAGCCTCACAGTTAAGGCCTTAGCTCTCAAGTGTGCCAAGCCATGGTCACCATGACCTTGGACAAATAATGTCATGGAGCCTCAGCTTTCTCATGTTTATGACGGGAGTCATGGGCTTCTACTCTCAACTACAATGTAGCAACAGGGACTGGATTTAACCTCCCACCTAAAACAATGGAAAAACCAGGTAAAATATGTGAATCAATGGTTCACAAAATTTTGGAAATTAATAAAGGATAGATAGATATGCTTGAGAGATAAGAAAATGGGGTCATAAAGGCTCTCATCTTCTATATTAGTTGGAATATTAAATGGGATGAATTAATTTAAGCCCTCAATAAATGCTGGCTATAATTACTTAAGCCAGGATGGGAGGTGAATGAAATGGCCTGAGAGAAAGTGTGGAGAAAGGAGAGCAGGTTTCCTGAGACTCAGCCTGTGGACCACCAACATGGCAGAGGAATTGGGAAAGGGGACAAAAAAAAAAAAAAAGAGAGAAGAATTGGTTTCTCTGGGTCCAGGGGAGCAACAGTTTTCAAGGGCAAGCAGTTGTCAACCATGATGAATGCTGCGGAAAGTCAAGTAATATGAAGACCAGAAGGAGCCCTTCAATCTGAGGATGCAGACATGTACAGAACACTTACTGGGGCTGGCAATTCTTATTAAAAATGAATCCTAAAATATCTGAACAAAGAAGAATGGAGGTTCAGATAAGGATTTCACTGCATCACTATTTACAATATGGAAAACTTGAACTACTGAAGCAGCCCAAATATCCCACAGTAGAAGGCTCAATGGCGAATGACACCACACACACCACATAGCCATGAAGGAAATTTATACTGAGTGGCATAGAGGGCTGTGTGAAGAGTATCAAATGGAAATGTGGTTAGAGAAATGGGTTTATAGGCCTGCCTCATTTTTAAAAGATGCATGTATTTCAATGGGAAACAGTCTGGAAATTTACATACCAAATGATAACACTGGTATTTAGGGGAGTTAGAATAAGATAATTTTTAAAAAATCTACATGTTCAAATTTTTCATCATTTTCATATCAACAAGCAACAACTATTTTCTGATACATGGTCAAAGTAATAAAAAGAATAAGAGGGTTAAATTGTTTGAGACCTGTTTTAAGATCAAGCATTGATTGCGAATAATCCTGTGTTTTCCTAGATTCCACACATGCCGTTTTTGAGGGGGATGCCAACAGTGGACAGGACAGCATGGGTGGCCCTGAGGATCAGCCATTCTGCTGGCCAAGCCCAGGTGA